GGCAGCAGAGGCGGGCGACCGTAAGGCAACCTAGGAACGATCGGGACGAGAAGCAGCAAGACGCAGGCGAGTTTGAAGGTGGAGTTCCTGACCCAGAGGAGCTCTGCAGCTGGAACCGGGGCCCTTCAGGCCCTGCTCCGACACAGAAATCACCCGGCGGGCGCCAGCTGCCTCCCNGCAGCCACGCGAGGCGCAGGGAGGCAGCTGGCGCCCGCCGGGTGATTTCTGTGTCGGAGCAGGGCCTGAAGGGCCCCGGTTCCAGCTGCAGAGCTCCTCTGGGTCAGGAACTCCACCTTCAAACTCGCCTGCGTCTTGCTGCTTCTCGTCCCGATCGTTCCTAGGTTGCCTTACGGTCGCCCGCCTCTGCTGCCGCGTGTAGGGGCGCCAGGGTGATCCCCATCTCCTGGCTCATCCCCACCTGAACCTTTCTGTGGTTTGTCATCTGCTCCGGTTCTTCCTGCGGCACCTTTCCCTTGTGATCTCTGGGAACAGAATGAGGTGTGCTGAGTGCTCACATCTGCTGTTCTGTGGGGGAGGCGTTCAGGGTCTGGCAGCAGAATGGCAGCTCCCTGCTGTTGGCTCTGGGTGTTTTGGGTTAGGGGCCTGCCTGGTCCTTCCACAAGAGGGGACCTGGTATGACAGCCTCCTAACCTCAGTGAAAGAGGTCTGGGACCCTGCAAACAGCCATCACTGCTCCCACCTCACTTCCTAAGCTGAGGACAGGACCTTGCCTAGGTAAGCAGAGGCTGGGCAAGCAGAGGGGTGCAGCACCGTGCTGGACTCTGAGGGTGAGCACCCAGTTTTACAGTACCAGCCACTTCTTACATCCCCTGCCTGTGCTCAGCATTCTGCAGCTCTCCCTTCCTCCTGGACCTTGACCAAGTGCACTGGTCCTTTGCACAACTTGGAGCTGCTTAAATTGGATGTGTGGCACAGGAGACTGGCATATGTTCATATATACTAAAATGAAGGCACTTGCCATGGGAGAGGAGGAAGATTTGGTCAGGGAAAACTCAGCAAGGTGCTTTTGTTGCTTTCCACTAGAAGGCCTGACAGAAGACACCATGTTTTCTTTTGCTTGTTTTTCTTCCGTGACCAATCCACCCAAAGCAGACAGTATGGAAAGCAGAGTTTATTCCTCTTGCAGCTTTGCTGGCTGTAAAGCATAGACTTGTGCCACTGATACCAATTGCTTTGTAAAAAGAATAAAACAAATTATCTGATTGTTCATGAGTTCACAGATACTTTGAAAAATTCTTATTATGGAGGAGTTCAGAAAAATGATAGTGATGTTCATATGAATTTAATTATCACACGTTTAAATAGTCTATGCACAAAAATACAAAGTGCATGCATATGTATGAAATTGTTTACATGACTGGCAACTAAGTTCCCCCTACATTTAAAAAAATAAGTAACCATGCTCATGTTTTCATCACTTCTCTTTCCCCATTACATAAATCAGAAACTTCCTTCTTGTCAATTCTCACACTCTGATACTGCACGCTTTACTATGGTTTCTATGGAGGTACATCCTATGGTCTCGGAGTAAGAGCTGTCAGATCACCGCACCTCCAACAGTCTTTTACTTCCTCTCTGCAAAGTAGATTTTGGGTTTTCCCTCCCTTTCCAGACCTTAAAGAACTGCCTTTATGAAAGAATGAGAATAAATCTTTTCTATCCTACAAGAGGTCAGAACAATAGTCTATCTTTTATGTAGGTGTGTACATCCATAGGCAGAAGAACAAATTGGACATCACGATCTGATCTGTAATACCATGCATTTTCCACACATCAAGGCAAAGGAGCAGAATTCTAGAAGATTATACTTGATATGTGATGGAATGCATTCTTCTTATTCAAGTCACTTTCTAGACTCTCTGCTTGTGAGTCTACTTTCTCACTCACATCATCATATGAAGACAGAGATGAGACACACACAAGTATGTGCCCTGCAGGTGGATGCTGGGCTAAACCAAAAAGAACAGCAGCTGAGAAATATAGGAAGTACTACAACTATCTGAGGCACACAGACTCAAGGTTAAGCCTACTCAAACCCCCTGGAAAGTACATGTACAAATATATAAGAAATTTCAGCATGTGTGAAGAGTATGCCCTGAACAAACTCAAAATACAGCTTGATTCTAAGCAGAAAATCAAGAGGATGAAAAGCAATGAGAAATCATAATCGAACCTAATATGAATTATTTTAAAAGAAGGACAGGTAATCAGTAACTCAGGCACTAAAGATCTATTTCTAGTGTCCAGAAACACTTCTGTCTTACTATGTCTTAGGTCCTAGTGGTCTACTCTAAACAAAAACAAAAAGATAACCAGACTCTGTAAATACATAGGCACGTATGAACTCCCCAAACACCAGAGTCTTCATAAAGAATTTGCCAAAGCAAAGCTCAAAAACAGATTCAAATATCAATAGAATTTTAATGTGGCTGAACTGAAAGAATTATTCAGAACATAAGCAATGAAAGTGAAAGAGATCTAGCTCCTTATTTATTACCCTGTTTTTCAAACACTTGTAAGAAATGGTTACAAAGTTCAATCATCTTAAATTCATATGTAAAATTAGGTAGTGAAATTAAGAGCAATGCCTCATCTGAGCATGCCTTAATAAAGGAAAATGAACAGAGCCATGTGTAAGTAGTATAATCACAAGTATGCCCACAAGACACTCCTTTCATTCTCTGGAAAGGGACATGGGATTCCTTGCTTAAATCACAATCTTTCTACCATCTTTTTACAGCTACAATAAAATCACAGCCTAATAATTTCTGATAAGTGACTCAATTTCCTATATCCAGTAGGTAAGTGGTGAGAGTTTCTTTAAGATAAATTAAGACAACATAAAAGACCGTGCAAGATACCTGTTACAATGATCCATGATGCATTTTCTAGACTGTATTTACCATCCACAAGATGACAGGAAAAACCAGCTTTGTTGGAACAATTGTATGGAACTGAACTATTTTTTCAGAAGGGACTATTTTTTTTGCCAGGGAGGAAAGCAGGCTTTTAGGTCCAAGTTCTTGGCTTTTTATTTTTAGAAATAAAATGGATGTTACATATTCTTATTTGGCATGGATATGGGCATAGGTATAGATATTCAGGATATAGAAGTAACTTTCATAACATGTATTCATAAATTTTGTTTTTTTGAAAAAAATACCCAAACAAACTGCTAGCATTTACATACTTACTATACACGACATCTGCATTTGCCCCCAGCTGTGGGAACAGACCAACTGATCATGTGCCTCTTAAAGGATGGCATATGAAACCCTAAACAACCCATGAGAACATAATCAGTAAAACACTTTTGTAAGTCTCAGTTTCCCTACAGCTGCTGTGTTAAGGCGTATCTTGCATTTTTACAATACCATTTATCTAGAAAACCATCAGAGCTAATATAGCCACTTTTCAGAATTAATTTGGCAGATAAATTGAGATCATTCCATCCACCACGGAAAATACATATATGATTACAAAATAACTGGACAAATGAAGATGAAGATTATACACCTACTCTTAAATTACAGCTTTTTATATAAATTAAGCTGCTTGCATATACAATATAGCTTGCTTGTAATACAATTCCAAGACATAAGACACAGAAGTCAAAGCAACACTGCTTCTTATTATTATGAATTATTTCAGCTGTATCCTTTCCATCTTAGATGAGATGACAACACAATTAATCTTATTTAAATTCCATTATTTGGCAAGTTTTGCAGAAAGATCATAATTGACTTTTTAATTTTCTGTATTTTCTGCAAAAACTTAAACAATACATACTTTATATTTTTTTCAGTGGAAGTCAAAAAATAAGTGTTTGCACATCAAGTTTTATATAAAGACTCCTAATATGACAGAGTAACACCTATATTTTATTGCTTATTGAACAAGATAACTACCACTAGGGACTTGTGTAATAAAATCTTCTTTCAAAATGGAAATGACCTAACTTTTATGCCAAGACCTTTCCTGGGGCTGTGCATGTGCGTTTGTTAAGCACTAACTCAGCAGAGAGGAAAATATGCCAGCTGCCAAGACACAAACACCATTTCACACAGCACCTGCTGCAAAGCATTCTCTAGAGCTCTGCTGAGTAAGGGACCTGATGCAATCCTGCAGAATTGAGGAAATACCACAGGACGACAGAGTAAAGAGCTTTTCCTTTTCTCTGAGTATGTATTCAAAAATGACCTCTATCAACAAAATTCTGAAGTATTTTAGTAACTTTTTTACAAAGACACATACATTCATGAACGCTTGGGCACTACTTCTGAGTAGTGACAATTCGGAAACTTGTGAAAAGGAATTTCCAAATCATTACTGTAATTTCATTAAAAAAAGAAAAAAAAAAAGAAAAAAGAAGAAACAAACAGGTTGTTGTATATCTTAAACAGAACCTTTAAGAAAAAAGAGATGTTTTGCATTCATGAAGCTTAAAACCATCAGATTTACTACTGAAAATACAGCAATACTATCAATTTCAAACCAGAAATTTCAAACTCTTCTGAAGCAGTCAGAAGAGAATTGATTCCATCTAGTGGCTGAACACAGTTACAGACACTCAGAGAGTTTTCATGTTTTTTACCTATTGTAATTCATGTCCCTGAGAGGAAGAATGATATCATCATCAAACACTGCACTGCACTTCACCTGATACAGAGAGTGTGATAGTACAAGGATGGTGAAAACTGTTCTAAGCAAAAAAAGACCCATAAGATGTTTCCCATCGTGGCGTTTTAGTGACGTACATCTTGCTGTTTTGAAGCCAAGGCTCTTCCTTCAGAAGCTTATTTGCTCAACTGTCTTTTATGTTTTGTACTCTGCCAATTAGAGGCAAAAGTATCTGTATGAGGTAATTGCAGATACTTTGGATTCTTGCAGACTTTAGTGATAATCTGTTTCTGTTGTCACAAATACCCATACCATACAAAGTGCAGTTGAGCTATTAACTCTACTATGGAGAAAACTTTTTCTTAAAAAGTGACTAAGCCTCTAACAGGGCAGGGAATTTAACTCAGCTGTCCTTGGTACCAGTCTTGTGTCCAACCCACCAAACTATCTTTTCCCTGATGTCCCACAATGACACATTAACACTCTGCACCTCAATTTTCCTCCCCCTTCTGCCTCTGAACTCTACAAAATCCATGAAAACAAATAACGGACAATTCTGAGCATGGAAAGACTACTTTGACAGCCCACCACAAAGCACTGAGATCAACAGTGCATATTCAGTTGAGTCTCTTACACCCACTAGGTGCTTTTGTAAGTATATAAAATAAATGGCAAGACCCACCTGTAATTTGTGTTGTCATAGAAACAAGCAGCGAAAAATTCAAAGCTACCATGGAAATATTAATAGAGTAATTGGTGCCTGGTTGCAAATCTAAACAAACTTCAGGAGCTTGCTTGTGTGTGGAAAGTTCAAAGGTCATTTCATGATGGAAGTTCTTCTGATACCAACGCTGGCCTTGCACATGAAACTGTAACCAAACAATCACAGCATGAAAATTGAAATGTTAAAATACATTACTTGCATTCAGCCATCTCATTCTCTTAATCAGAGGAAACAGAAGGAGAGAGCACTGCATAGGAAGTGTCAAAACTGTTGGCATTGATAGTCAGATTCCAAAATTTGATCTATCTTGATCAGATCCACTATTTTCCTTGTTCTTTCACTTCTCCTAGTCTATCTTCTTTTTTATTAATTTGCCCTAGGCCGTATAACATACAGGCTTCCAGTAACAGTTCACTTTCACTGAAGTATACCCTCCTGGTGAATTATAAAAGTAAGCTCACGTGAACACATCACCCTGAGGATTGAGACAAAATTAAGTTATTTTTACCCATGTTCAAAATACCAGCTACACTCTGGGATCTGCCTACAGACACCTATATTTCCAGGGAAATTTACAGACTCGTGGGTTCTTTTTTTTGTTTCAATAGGATTTTGTGTTTTATTGTTAATGACTGAAATAATCATGAAGTAACTAAATTAAAGCCTCTCCTGATCAAATGATTTCTCTGTTAATGAAAACTAAAATGCTTGCTGGATATTAATTGTGCATTAATTTTCCTCTAAACAGATCCTATGCTTTCAGATAATCTCTTAGTGCCTCCTGGCACAGGGAAACTTGAGACAACAGCAGGTGGTCAAGAGTCCTGGCAGAAGTAGTTCATGTAGAAATTCCCTGCTGGGATAAGGGCAGACTGAAGGCATACCACAAGGCAAAGAGAACTGACTCAGTGGAACTGGAATAGAGTTGTGTGAGTTGTTTGCCTGAACATGGCAAAATTGAAAGTACAGATAAGGAGAGCAAATTAAGAGTTAAGTATGGGAAAAATAAGCAATAAATGGGACTACAAAAGAGAGCATGGTCTTTCTTTGGCCACTATGCAATATTATTCTTTGGGGGTTTTTGAGACGTTTTATTACAATGAGGAACACTGCTAGCAGTGCGTGTTTGAAAAATTAGGTCTTTGATTGATAATAACCGCTTTCTAGATTCAAAATGTAGATTGTCACTTACTGAGTATCTGTCTTCCACACCAGTTCCCCTGACATTTCTCCTCCATTTCAAGCAGGTATCATTAAAAATTAATACATTATTGAAAGCTTCCTTTACTGTAGAGACAATTTAAAAAGAGATCAACTTATATTTAAAAATTTTACCTCCTTCAACTTAATTGAATATGAGTAGCTGAGAATAAAATTTTTTGAGAAGTCATAAATTTCATTCTCTTCTGAGACAGACGGGTAGGTTATCATTTCTTTTTTAATGAACAAACAAGATAAGTAAAACATGATCATTTTCCAGATAAATCGGATTTTGGAAAAACCCAAGCATGCTATTCAGGAAATGCAATACACAATGTACTTGTCCAGACCTAGAAGGTTATAATGACAGAAATATCAAGGGTACAGGCCTCCTGATATAAATGAAATTATCACAGAACAATTTGACATAGTTGATGCCCTTTAGGAAAAAGCATGTGAGCAAAAGCATTTTTGTGGATTCCAAAAGCAATTATTTCTCAAGGTCTGTCTCACCAGAATTAGTATGTCATAAGCTAAGCCTAAAGTCTCCATGACTAAAATACTACAGAAATCCACTGTTAGAACATGACTTCTGTAAAATTACTGGTAACTGCCAGAACCCTGTTAATCACTGGCAAACATAGGAGCGTTGTCTGTAATGCTCATATCACTTAGATCAGTGTCACATAGCCAAGCAACAGGGAATTCTCCTACAAGCAGAGAACCATATTTCAAGGCAAAAATGGAAACCATTTTTGTACCATGGAGCAAAGTTCTGTGCTAATCCTGCCTCAGCCAGAAGGCAAGTCCTGAAAAAAGCAAATTTGCCAAAGCCTTCTGAAGGGCACTTACTGCCACTGCTCTCCTTGCTCAAAGAGTCAATGGCCAAGTGAACAGAAAGAAAAACATCTTGCAGAAAAAGAGGATGCTGACAGTAGCTACATGTGCGTAGTCAGCATAAAGAATTATGAACTCTAGGAAACAGCCCCTTTTCCTGTTAGACTTAAATCAGTGAACTCTGCAGTACAGTATGTTCTTTTATAAGCACATAAGATACAAAACACAACCTACCCTTTGTTTGAATTGCTACTGTAACAGAGACGGTGATGTTTGTGGAAGAAATGGTCGTTATATTCACCATGTAGTTACTTCCAGAATTCAGATCTAAACACACCTTTGGATTATCTTCACTTGTACTGATGTTAAATATCACATCTTCTGAGAACATCTTCTCATCCAGTCTTTGTCCCAGTATATGAAACTATTGAAACAAAGAAAACAGTGCAATTTGTTCTGGCTCTCCAAAATTCAGAATACTTGTTTATTTAACCCTACTGGTTCTTAAAGGGAACACAGGATTTCATCTGGTTTAGAGTACCAGTTCAAGGGAAGTATCTAGGTTTTTGACTAGCTACGAGATGTCTTAATAAACTGGATCTTTATTTCTTCTGTCTGTTAAAATTATTCATATTTTTTTCATATACTTCTACAACTGATAGAAGGAATCTATTATGGAATCTAATCCAATCTATTAGGAACCTAATCTATTGTGAACCCTACTAAGATCTCCAACTCAAATAGTAAGGTGTAAGCACATACTGTTTCTTGTTTACAGCACACAGATAAAAACTGCATCTACTTGTTACTTTCTTTCCGTTTCATTACTTTTTCCCCCTTACCCTAGAGAAGCAGTAGCAAGATGGAATGCCAAACAGTAAAAGATGAGCTTGCCTAACACTGTCCCAGTGTAGTGAAAAAGAAATCTGTTGCTTGTATGACATGAAGGGACAGACAAAGCTCACCTTCTCTGGCTATTCTGAAGTGTCTTTCAGATGGCTGAATTCAGAACACATCATACAAGAGATCCACAGCCTGCCAGTTACCACTGGCTATATAAAAACCAGTTTTGACCTGTTATGGGAACTGGGAAGCTGTTTTCCATCTCAGCAGTGCTCAATAAAAGTATACAAATTAAAAATACTTTGGTTATAACATAGGAGGAGAAAGATGGGTTGTTTTCCAAAATTATTATCCAACCTTGAAATGTTTTCCACATTAATACACTTACCCTGGACACCCAAAATAACCCCTTTTATTTTTTTTCCTTACTTGTACATACTAAAAAGAAAGGAAAGAAACCAAAACCAAACAACACACATGCATGCAAAACCCTTTCTTGGGATGTCATTGTGAAAACACAGGAATTCTTATCATGTTGTTTTGGCTTTCCATAACACTGACCAGACTATTTGTTTTGTTTCTGAGAATCTGTGCTTTTATTTTTATTCTTATAAACAAAAAACAAACCAAAAAACCACAAAACAGTTACAAAGGTTGTTTGCAATTTCCAAGAAAAACTGTTCTAAAATTTTCAGATATACATTAGTTGAACCTTTTGAGCAAAGCACACTATTTCGACATACCTTGCATTTCTAAAACATGTTATATCCAGAATCTGCAAGTGATACACAGTTCAGTTCAGATGTTTGTCAAAGACAGGGACAGAGCCCAAGTTTTGAAGTGTTTTCTGTGGCAATGTGAGCTTGAGCTCTTCCATGGAACTTCACTAAAACTTAAACTTATGCTGTAAACTCTTACAGATTTGAGCAGGCATTTAGGTGATTTACTGGAATGAGAACCTGAAGCTTTTGAGTTTTTCACCTACCTTTAGCACAGGAATTTTCTTCTTTCCTAACCCAGCCAGTTACCTGTAGGTTTCTAGGCACTCCACTGGGAAGATCAAGACAAACTACCATACAAACAAAACCCACAAAACAAATATCCACTGCTGAATCAGCAGATACAAGGAGGACAAAATTAGTCCCAATCTCAAATACTTCCATTATCACTTACTGTGTACGTTTCCTGCACTCCCAGTCTTCCAGTTTTCCTTTGCCACCTCACACATGTTTCATTGAATATGGATATATTACTGAGTAATTCCTCCTCTGTGACCAAAAACATGAACATAGAAAGAAAATCATTACTTCTTATGCAAATCTTATATTTGGAGCAATTGCATATTTCTTACTTTTTATGTGGTTTGGTCTTGGATTATTTTTTTGCTCTGCTTTTTTGTCCAAACAGGAAAAAAACCAAAGAAGGTAAGCACATGTTAGGTAAAAACCTTTCTCTTAACTGTGTTGGCTGCTAAACTTAAAATAACAGGCTAACTGAAGAAGCATGTCCTGAGCTAAAGACTGTGAACTCTTTAAACATACAACCAGTATTACATAAACTGACCCAGGGAGCTTTTAAGAAAGCTTCTGTGTTAGACTGAGAAAGAGTTTATTTGTAGCTGAATGAATGTTTTGGTTCATTATTTACATGAGCTACTTTTTAAAAGGTGTTGACATTTTTTCTTGTTGCAGAATAAATAAAATTAAGTAACACAGCTTAATTCTTAAAATTAAGGACACTTTTCAAAACAAACTAGATTAAAACAATGGAGCCCACAGAACCAAGCTTGTAGGAAGTACAGTTGTAGCAACCAGAGATACATCCCTCAAGACACCTCTGTTAATTTACACACAAGAGCAGGCTTTCTCAGAGACACAGCACAGTGAGAAAGGTCATCTCATCCACACTTTCTTTCAGCACTCTCTCTTACTGCTGTCATTAGACACAGCAGAGTTGCTCTCACATGGCAAGATAACATTCTCACATAGCTAAAAACAAAGCTCTCTGGTTACAACTCACATCAACAGTGAACGTATTTACTCCTCTCCTTCACCAGCCTTCAAATTGTCATTCCTTTGTCCTACCACCATGTTTTCTCATTACATTCACTACATGACCTAGGTCACACAAACCCAATCTGATATAGATTCTAAGCTGAAAAACACTTAGCTGCTGAAAAATTGAAAGATATTCATAGGACAGCATTGGTAGATACTTCAGTGAATATTCACAAAATAGTAGGTGCACTGTGCTGCTACAAAAGCAAGCACAGGTCAGGGCACCCTTCCTCTGTATATAAACTTCATTACCATCTCACAGGGGCCCTCTTGTAGCATGTGGACATCAAGCTGTCAATAAAATAAATCAGTACATTAAGAATTTCTAGCATTTCATACTTGGGCAGCTATTTAGAACTACAATGTATTAACATTAATGTATTTTGCAGAGGTTTTTCTTTCTTTTTCTTTGACTATTAGAACTGCCATAAAACTGCTTTCTAAGATTATCTCCCTTTCCATATATTCAATAAATAGATACCTCACTCACTAGACCAGTTCATCTCCCAGCTAGTTTTAACTCCTCCATTCCACATTCATTGTATTTGGAAATGCTGCTGAAAGCTTCCATATTTCCAGGACAGAAGAAAGAGATCAACCAGCGTATCCTCTAAAATAAATTTCTTACAAACAGCTGTATGTTTAACTGTATTTGAGGGCTGCTTATTGTTATTGTTATCTGCTTCACAGTACTGCCCCAAAACTCTGCAGTCTTAGCCTTCTGTATCAACGCAAAGAAAAAGATTATGTTCAGTTGTTGTACTCTTTAAATCAGACACAGTTTTATTAAAAGAGAGAATAGCAAGAAAGACTCAAAGACAGAGGGAAAATGTTTCCATATCCAAGAGATCTGAATTAAAATGCCTAACAAGAAGGCAGGAGGGGACAAGAGAGGGAGTAATTACATGACTTCTTAGCAAGAAAATCTGCAACTTGACTTACAAGTTTATAAAATACAGTGGGGAAAAAAAGAAAGGGAAAATAAAGCAGTAAACAACAAAAGGGTTCTGAACTTTGAGGACAAGGCCACCAGGCAATGACCATAAATTCACAGAATAGCTGGCAAATCTTTTCTCAAAAGTTTCCACTTTAAATGGATGTGAGTGAAAGAGCATGAAAACCTGTACAGAACAATTACCACAACAAAGTCTTCAGCTTTCTGAGGAGACTGCTTTTTCTCCTTTACTCCTAGTGATCACAGTGTCTTTGTTGGGACAACCAAACATACAGAAAGGTCTTGGATTAACATTAATCCCAGCAGCATAAACGTAGTATCCAATAACAGCACAAAGGTTTCTCTGAAAAAAATATTCTGCAACTAGAGGGAGACAGGTTCCTTGAAACATTCATTCTACTGTGAAATCTAACAGTGGCAGTGAGTTACAGAGCTTGGGAACTTGGGTTGTGAAACACACAGTAGCAGACAGTAGCATCCAGGTCTGAAATGTAACTGATTTTGATCAACAGCTTACACTCAAATTCACATATAAGATGAGAGAAGCAAAGACCCTCCATTTGCCTATACCTCAGCACTATAAATTTTAAATTGTGATTAACCAAGGTGGGTGAAGTTCAGTGATACCCCACTTACATTCTTGTTACCTTCACAATCTTTTTCCCATTCCAAGAGAAAGTGTTCTAGAAACAGCAAGCAAATAAATACCTGGAGATCAGAGGTGAAAGGTGAAAAAAAAATCCTGGAGGAATAAAGGCAGATCTGGGAGAGGATAGAGAGATGCAAATAGCACCTGGCAGTTGGCAGCCAGGAAAGACAGGCGCTGGTAAACACAACACAAATGGTAGAATGCAAAAAAGCCAAGTGTTACAGCACCAGTGAGTTTTGGAGAGGGAGAAATTATGTCAAGAAATTCAAAGATATCAACCTTTTCACCAGACAGCAGACAGAATCAGTTCCACTCTGACATTTATCTTCAGCAAGTAGCTAAAAGAGAATCCACATGTGCACGTTCATCTACAGAGCTCTTGCCACCTATCCCCATGCATACAAGTAATTTAGTGGAAAGAAAAATCCCAGGTATTAGATTTTTTTGTATATTTTAGCCTGTTCAATTCTATAAGTGGTGAATGATGTTGCAGATGTCATTTGCTACTAATACAGACTATATTTTTTCAATTAAATAAATGAAAATATCTCAGAGGTATGTGCCAAGAGGATGGAGCCAGGCTCTTTCCAGTGGTGCCCAAAGACAGAATAACCAGCAATAGCTATAAACTAAACCACAGTAAGTTCCACCTCAACATGAGGAAGAACTTCTTTACACTGAGGGTGGCAGAGCACTGGAACAGTGCTCAGGGAAGCATGAAGACATTCCAAACCCACTTGGACGTGTTCCTGTGTTATCTGCTCTAGGTGACCCTGCCTTGGCGGAAGATTGGACTGGATGACATCCAGAGGTCCTTCAAACACTGGTCCTGAGATTCTGGGAAACCAAGCACTTCTATTCCACAGGAGAAGAAGTTCTGTAAGGACCAGCTACACAAGATGTTCAGGCTCACATGCTGAGCACACTGGACAGAAGGTACTTTAATTGCTTATCTGTTCTCTGCACTTCAATCACCTCATTTTATGTGTATAAATCAGAGGCTGGTAAAAACTGTAATCCAGCTTACTGTTGCCTTACCTTACTGGTGTCTTAATCCAATCAGCACCACAAGTAAAATTAACTTTGTAATGATATTTTTTAATATTTACACTAGCTACTTAGAAAAGTTCTTGTATACACACACACACATATATATTTACCATATATCCCAAAAGAGAATGCACCAAACAATGCAAATAAAAGGCATCCATAGCAACCACTTTTTAAGAAATTAAGAAATTAATTGTCAAAGAGAATTTCCTGTGGATGTTCTCTTAACTGCCTTATTTCTAATGTAATTTTTCAGGTGGGATGAAAAGACAATTGGTTTTCCAACATCTATCATAAATTATTTTGGAATGGTACATAACCTGGTACATAACTTTCTCTCATTTTAATGGGCATTACTGATTAATTATATATGCCATTAAGAGCACTTAAATCTCAAAGGCATCACTTCACAAACTGAAATTTCATTTAATTTTAAAGCAATTTGTTACCTCTACTAAATTTGAAAAATGTACAAGTCAAGAAGATGCAAGATTTTGCAACAATTTCCTGTTGATGGGTAATTTTTTTTAAAGGAGTGTGGACTAATTAGGCTATTTTTGTAACTCTTCCTTACCATTCTATTTGACCATAATTGGCTTTTTTGGCCCTCTGATCCAGCAGCTGGAGCCAGAATCTAGCAGAGCTCTAGCCGAAATCTGTGGTAATCCTATGAGTGCAGTCTGCAGGTTCAGGCCCTTCAAAACTTCAGAGCACTCAAGACAACACTTGGCACTGCAAAGACTGACAGACCTGACTAACTTCGTCACTCAACACAATGTTGGCTTCAAAATCAATTCACAAAATACCATCATGTGAGTTTCCTGAAAGAAATATGAATCATGACTTTTAACAACAGCAGTTCACTTGGGCACTTTAGCAGCTGAGAAAACTGCTCTTCTACTTACTCATTTTACTTGATGTCACATGTTTTACATTTGCAGTAGATGCTCAAGAAGTCAAGTGAGGGAAGAGGGGCCTCATGCAGTACCTCTGTGTCAAGTGAAGTCCTTGTCAGCAGTCAAGGACACATTTTTAGTCTTTTTAAAAACCATAAGATGTTTCAAAGCTAAATGAACACCATCTTCTGCAAAAGACAGCATTGCTACTTAAGAACTAGAGATAGACAAGTGAACTAGTGATAGATAGTAAGACAACTCCTTTTTAGGACACAGAAGAACACTAAAGAGCACAACAGTCATGGTCCAAAACATCTGCTAGTTGTTGCTGTTAATAAAATGTCAGTACCTCCTGTTTCCAAGCACACAGTATGACAACACCTTTGTTACACATCTCCCTTCTCAGGACTCATTCTTTACTAAGAAAATAATTCTGGAATGAAATTCAGACAATGAGATGTAGGCTGGAAAGGCAACCATGAAGAAATTTTTGCTTTTGTCATTACAAGAAAAGAACAAAAACCGAAACAAGCAACAAAAGAAAAAGAGAGGGGGAGAGAGAGGGAGAGATAAAGGGCTTCAAATTCAATTTCCACTGTTTGCACTGGAGCACACTTTACAATATTGAATTCACAAGAAAATATTTTTAAATGCCTTCTGCCCCTTACTCCACAGACTTCTAAAGCTGAAGGCTCTCAGTGAAGCAATAAAACTCCGGTCACATTAGTCTCTTTCTGTTTGAGATAAAAAGCAAGACTATAGAAAGATATGTGGCATCCAGTAGATTGCTAATGGTCTCTTTTGTGACCTTTCCATCTAAAAGTACCACCACATTCCCTACATCATAAATTAGAAGGGGATTTCTTGCCTTCATTCTTCCTCCTGTTCCTAATTTTGGAACAGGAATGACAAACTAATTAAATTTCAATTTAAACAGCAACTTTGTACGGTAATACTTACCTTTGCATACGTATGTAATATTCTCCCATGACTGATCTATTGTGCATTCTGAAAAATTCCTGTCTCCATTGAAATAATATCCTTCTTTACAGTGATAGTACACTCTGCTCCGCAGAGTGGTAGAATTGTCCCAGGTCATTGTCGTGTGTGGAATCAGCAAAGGTTTGCCACAGTCTATTTCTGGAACAGAGAAAAACAGGAAGGCAAAGCCTTGAAATGAAAATACAAAGGCAAGACAAAGTGTTAAAAATGGAAGAATGAACTTTTTCAGCAAGTTACACTTCGCTTTTTTCCACTTCTTAGAGATTTCTAGAAATCAGGCCAGCTCATCAGAGCACAGAATTTTGTGGCTGAAGACTTTCTAGCAGGGTGCAGCATTTATCCTACAATATGACCAAGTGTCTTGATTAGAAATGGAGAGCAAGGATCTTTAAGCAGATTTTTATGAGTAAGTCTATCTTCCCACAACACTCTCTTATCCTCCACATGCTATTTATCCCTATATTTTACCTACCATTAGTAACAGTAGATATTAAAAAAGACATTTGGTCCAAGGAGTGTCATGAAAGAACAGCATCAAGAAGGTTATGTTCCTTTTTCAGTGGATTTAATTCAGGTTTTGGAAAAAGATGCTGCTACAGACAAGATGAATGAGTAACTCTGAGGGAAAATTTGACAGATTATGCAAACCACTTACAGGTAATTAGAAAGCAGGGATAATGAACTAATAATTTAATTCATTTGCTCTGGTTTTGTGAGCTGCATAATAAAAACAGGGAACAAAAAAATTAGAAGTGAAGATCAAATAGATGGAACAGTATTATTTAGGGTAGAATCTACTTTTCAATTCACAGTGAATGTTGTACCTGAAGAAAATATTCTATACCACTTCAGTTATAAGAAGCAAACACTGTAAGAATTAAAATCTTACCCTCGTTAAAACCTATGTGGAACAAACAAGTTTTTTTTAACTGTTCAGTAATTTTAAGTGATTCTAAAATTCTCTTAAAAGAAAAAAAAAAAAGGAAAAACCAAAGCTTATAGAATCATGATCTGTATAACCTTTAAAGAAAAATTTAAACATATGTGTTTAATAATGGGCAATATATCCACCATCATGACTACCTTCCTCTCCATGCAGCAATGAGTATGGATGAGTATAGTTTATCTACTATGAATCATCAGAACAAGCCTTGGAATAACTAATGTACATGCAGGCATGTGCTTAACTCATACAAGGACAGTATGTGACAAGACACAAAAACTCCTGCTTTTCCAGCTACCTGCCCATGGCCATTCTGTAAGCAGACTGAAATGCAGAAGCACATTCTTGTGTAACACTGAAAACTTTCCACTTAGACTCATGACACAGAATAAGAATATTGAAGGTCATTCTAAAAGCAGAGAGTGGTTATAAAATACACATGGAGCATTCAAAAAAAATTACTACATTTGATTGCAATAAACTGAAAACTTGATCCTTGCTGGATCAAGCTGAAAAGATATTTCTTGCCCAACAAATGGAAAAGTGAAGCTGTGCAAATGTGAAAACTGACTAAAGTGTGTAACTATTCTAATGTCTCCTAATTAAGAATATGAGCCCAGATTTAAAAAAAAAAACAAAAACAAAAACAGAAGAGTTTTTTGGTTTTGGTTTTGTTTTTTTTAAATGTACCTCTGTGTTTCATCTTACTGATGGAGCTCTTTAGGCTACATTTTTCCAAATCTCTAAGAGCACTGTAAGAGACTTGACTCATCTCAAATAGCAACAGCATGTCTGAGGATTCAAAATTTGCAAAATTTGTCAAAATATAGGAATTTTGAAGGTATGTTAATAACTAACAGCAGTTTGATTTCTGATAGAGGCTTCAATGGCTATCAGAAAAGTAGAGTGGATATTGAACTGGAAAAACGTTAGCAATTTAGGCTGTATTTTCATCTCATGCTAATCCCAATGCTTGACATGCATTGGGATTATGTTCTTGGAATGTTAACTTCTAACAATTTATTGCAACTTCATTAGCAACACAGATTAAAAAAATCCAAAAAAACCAACCCTGTTCAATATATGGTTTTCGTTTTGTGACAACTTTCTATGCCAGAAGATTGTATAAACTGAATGCCCAGAGAGGATGACCGATATTTATTACAGTGATTTAAATGGTATCTATGCTAAATAAATGTGAAGGCAGACTTTATTTACCTTTGCACACCAAATCAGGGCCATCCCACTGTCCTTTGGCATTGCAGACTGCAGTGTGACTGCTGCCTGCCATCAGGTAACCATGATCACACTTGTAAGTAACTTCACTTCTGTATGTGGTCCCACCCACAGATGCTGTGGCATGCGAAACAGGAGGTGGAACCCCACAGTCCACACCTGAGGAGATGAAGGAAGAGGAAGACAGACCTGTTAGTCAACCAGCAGGAGCAATGACAGCTGCACTCACATAAATATTTCTTTCATCTTCACCAGCTAGCCCTCTTCTCCTGTAGCAATGCAACATTTCCTCAGGTCCTCTGCAATATTCCTACTATGACTGACAGTGCTGTAGCTACTCCAAACATCTGCTTCCAAATAAAAGAACCAACAAAACTCTCCTATCTTTCTCTCAGAATACCATGCTAAATCTGTGACTCCCTCCTCAGTCTAGCTGTTGTATAGAGAAAAGTCCTGGTTTTCTTCTAAATCTTTAGACTCTCCTGCTTTGACAAACCTGATTACATCTGATAAGGTGGTTCTATACCATTAGCTATGAGCAACACTCAAAGGAAAGCTGATGAGCAGAAACTGCCTTTAGAAAGCAGAACTTTAAAAAGCGCACGAAAGCTGTAAAAATTAAAAACCATAGAAAAGGTTACAACATATAATACAAAAGTTTCCTGTTATGGCAAGAGTCTACATAAGGCTTAAGCAAAGAAGCCAACATGCACACACACACACACAAAAAAATGAAGCACTTGTTCAAGGTACATTTACTAGTATTAAAAAAAAAAAATAAATCAGACTTTCTGGTTTTACAAGAGAAATCCTAATTGAAAACCAGGAAAAGAGCTTGCAATACAAGGAGGAAGTAAGTTTGACATTTCAGACTTTCAGCTGTTTCTTGGTTTATCATATATTTTATTTCAATTAACTATGTGCTAAGAAAGTCTGACCTGACCTACTGTTTGATTGTAGAAATTTAAAAAAAAACATATGAAAAAACAACTTTTGAAAAACATTAGCAAAAAACAAATATATCAACAACTCACAAGAATTGCATTCCTCAGTCTTTCCCTAGGGACTGCTTGAGACTTGAGGCACTCCCTTTTTTCAAATTCATTGTCCTTTATTTATTTTGGGGGGTGGGGGGAAGTGTTAGTTTCATTGTTTTATAATTGTTTTATCTTTTCCTTCTTATGAATTTCTTGTGACGGTATTTTGTTTTTCCTAGCCACATTGTTTTACTGCCCTTATTTTGATTTATTCACTTCCCATAAATGTTACATTTCTATCCATTCTCAGAGGGGAAAAAAACGAGAAAGGGAAAGAATTGGAAACCATGAGGACTGTTGTCATTTCAGAGGAAGAAAAAACTCTCTTCACTGAGTGACAGTGGCAATTTCCAGGATGACAACTCTCCCCTGTAGAATTGCTACACACAGCGTATATTCTGCTAGCTAGCACTTCAAGTAGCAATTAACTCCTACAAAGGCCAGCTACTCACAGGAACACAAAAAAGAATCATGCACCCTTAAGCAGTAATATTGCCAGAAAATGGATGATTAGAACACCAAAGCCAGTGTACATTTTAAAGACAGTCATAGGAAACTTAATGCTTCAGGGATGTGGAAGTGTTTGTTCACATACAAATGCTCTTAAAATTACGGAGACTACCCAGAGCTGTGGAATGCTACGATGCCTCTCTTTTGCATCTACAGCAAACCTTCAGACAAAACTTCTCAAGGTGTCAGGAAAATTGATGTTTTCATGAGAGGTCAGTGATGCTTTCCAACTCAGTAGCCATTAAATGCTAAAGAAATCTAGTTGTCTTCTGTAAGCCTCAGCTCACAAGCAGAAGGACACACTGCAGTGTCTGTAAAAATGCAGGAAGCAGCAACAAAAATGTCACTACACTAAAGAAAAAGGTAAACAATAACATGTCCTTTTACTTTCTTCTTTTTCTGCAAATAACCAGATCTTGAAAAAACATTTCATTCAGATTGTAGAAACAAGTCTATTATCTTCACAAACACACTTCCCATGCATGAACCTCCTTAATGAAGAATTTAAGAAAGATTTAAGACTCTTCACCTTTACAGCTTAAAGTGGCAGGTTCCCAAGTTTCATTTGCAGTGCAGTATGAGAACTTTCCTTCATTGCTGTAAAACCCTTCTTGACACTCATAATGAACTGCACTTCCTGGTAGCAAGCTGTAGTTCCCCACAATGTAGCCATGCTTCATTTCAGGAGGGGAACCACATCCGATTTCTGCAAAGAGACTGGGTTGAAAGGTCTCACAGTACATAAATCACAACACCTGACCGCTTTAAAATTAGCTGAACTAGATGGTCACATCACAAAATACACCCGATCTGATGAATCTGAGGGGTTGCCAAAGGGGTAGAATACTAGATTTGAAGAAGTGTCCTGGCCATAGTTGGAGGAACACAGGGAAGCAGTTATTGAGGTACACCCTTACTAACATACAGCTGGAGCCATTCACAACACCAAAGATGAGACACTACAATGTGATGGTTCTTTGCGTGGGCCAGTCTCATTACAGCAGTGGCTGAATGATACTTCAGCATCAGAGGAAAATATCAGACGCCAGTGCACAGCTTTATTTCCCTGTGCATGGGAAAAATGAAGCACTTGGCAGTGGATAAATTGAAAAGAACTGTTCTGCCCTCCAAATGCTTCATCTCATTGAAAAGGCCTGCATACAAAAGCAGCACTCCTCCAGCACATCTGTTTGGACAGGGCTCCCTTGTGCAACTCTGCAAGAAACACAATCGGTACAGACACTCTACTTCACCGAATACAGAGGAGCGAGTCAGTCAGATAAGAAGCAGGGTTATCAGCAATTCTGGCAAACACAGCGGAGCACTCCAGTCAGAAAAACTGAACTCTTACGGGCTGTGAGCTTTACTGATGGTTCTGGCAATAATTCAGAAATAAAAGCTGAATATAATCTAGGCAGCTCCTTCCACCTGGGATGCCTGTGTTCATTACATACTCTGATATCCACAGCTTACACTGCTATCAGTTTGCATCTGTGAAAATTTTCACTAAAGATGGATTTTCAAAATGGAAACTTGGTTTTGGTTGAGGTTTTTTTGTTACAGCAACATAAGCTGAACCATTTATTTATGCAGGTGGCATAGCATGTAATAAATAGCTAAACTATTGTTTGAGTATTTCTCTCCCCTTGTTTTTTTTTCATTCATCTAAGCTCTCTTATCAGACACCTAGTCTCTCTTCTCTTCCCCTTTATGTGGTGTGATTATATAAACAACTGGATTACAACACACTTCCTTTCTACTCCGAAACTAACTACATTACTTTCATAACATTATCAAGCTTCTGTGACCCAGCACATCTGAAGCACTGCTGAGAACCTGTAGGAATATCTGGCGTTGACTCTGGGATCCTGACATCACTGGAACAAACTGAATACAAGAGGAGAAAAAAAATCATACAGGAAGCAAAGTCCAGAGAAAGGGTTTCTTCCCTGGAGAAGCTCAGGCCAGAACAGGCACTACACTATGGTTCAACATGTGATTCTATACGCTAGCAAAAAGAGCATCCAAAGACTCTCACCTTTGCATGAAACTGTCTTTCCATCTTGATGAAAAGAAAGCTCTCCAGTTTCTAATTTATAACCATCATTGCAGTAACACATGTAGCTTCCTTCTGTATTCACACATCTTGCATTTTGACCACACAGTCCAGACTCCTCACATTCATCTATGTCTAAAATTTCAGAGAAAAGTAGATGCACTTCATAGTAGGTTTTTTTTTTGTTTTCATTAAATAATATAGGGCCCAAGCTTAACTCTTTCGTGAAGAGTTCTACATAGATTCTCACAGCTCTTCTAGGAAAACAAAGGAGTTTATCATTGTCTCATCTTCAAGCATCTGGAAAGAGGACTCTTGCAATTTTGAACTAGATAACTAGTTGAAAGCTAGCTATCTTTAGAATTACTGCTGGTTTACTTGACAAATAGTTTCCAATGTTATATGATGTTCAAACAATTCCAGAAAAATCCTATATCCAGACATCTCTTGAACAGTTACAACAGTTCATCACTAACAAGGCTAATATTCTACACTAAACACAAAAATTACAATCTGGGGAATGTTAACTATCATCCTATTTTGTTAATCTAGCTGCTGCTGCTTCATTAAAGATCTTCGTTTGAATGAGACAGTGAAGCAATGATTTGTAACATGGCAGAGTTCCAAATGGAACTAATTCATAGCTGTTAGGAACCTGGAAGTCAAACAAGCACATCAACAACAAGTAGTTCTCTGATATAGTGTCAGAAAAGAAGTTCTACAGTGATGGGAAAAAAAAATACTTGTGCAGTAGAAAGTTAAGTTCCAGATTTGTCATGCTCAGGATTCTGTGTGATGTCTACCTGTACAGTTCGTGCCATCATTGGGAATAAATGTCTTGTTGTTGTTGGAGGCTCGGTATCCATCAAGGCAAACACAGTAAAAACTTCCATGTGTATTATGACACAGTGTATGATTTCCACAGATCTTGCTGGCTCCAATCTGGCATTCATCTTTATCTGTCAGTACAATTGGAAAACATCAGAGAGAGATTAAGAAATGTGGAGTACCCTCCCCCCTTCACTCACGCACAAGTAACCAGACTTGTCCTTACTGATTTCCTTTATAAATTATTTGGGATGTAAACACTGCTGGTAAGCTGGAGAACAACAGAAATGGTTGTCCCTGGATGAAAATGTGAAAACACTTCATGACACAGCTTAAATTGACCTAAGAGTTTAAGAGCTACTGAAACCAGAGGGCCCTGGTCTCTCCTTCCACTCTTCGTTATGGCATATACAAGCACAGCTACAGTCTGGGTACAGAATGGATCAAGAGCAGCCCTGCCAAGAAGGATTTGGGGGTGCTGGGGGTGAGAGGCTGGACACGACCCAGCCATGGCCACTCCCAGCCCAGAGATCCAAACGTGTCCTGGGCTGCATCCAAAGCAGCGTGGGCAGCAGGGGAGGGAGGGAGGGGATTCTGCCCCTCTGCTCTGCTCTGGTGAGAGCCCACCTGGAACCTGCATCCAGCTCTGGGGGCCCAGCACAGGAAGGAGATGGAACTGCTGGGGCAAGTCCAATGGAGGCCATGAAGATAATAGTCGGCTGAAGCACCTCTCTCACAAGGAAAGGGTGAAGGGGTTGGGGGTTGCTCAGCCTAGAAAAGAGAAGGCTCTGGGAGCCCTTATTATGGCCCTCCAGTGCCTAAAGGGGACTTTCAAGAAAGCTGGAGAGGGACTTTGGACGACATCCTGTAGTGCTAAGACAAGGGGGAATTGCTTTCAACTGGAAGAGGATGAATTTAGATTTGGTATTATGAAGAAATTCGTCATTGTGAGAATACCAAGGCACTGGAACAGGTTGCCCAGAGAAGTTGAGGATGCCCCAATGCCCAATCCCTGAAAGTGTTCAAGGCCACTTGGATGGAGCTCTGAGCAACTTGGTCTTATAGAAGCAGTCCCTGGCCATGGAAAGGGGGTTGGAACTGTGTGATTTTTAAGGTCCCTTCAAACTTGAAGCATTCTATGATTCTGTGTTTTTCCTACAGCGAGACACCTGAACTCTGTGCAGGATCCAGCAGCTGCCAGAGCTGTGTGAAAGAAAGGCAAGAGATGGAGAGCAGGAGATTGTTGGTGAGGGACCACCCCCTTTAGGCACTGGTAAGCTGTTACACTGAGACACAGCATTTGACATTGTTCTTTGATTCACATTTTGATTCATACGTATAAAATGGTCTAAGAAGGGCACTATCAGAGACAGTAACAAAGCATTAAACGCTTCTGAACGTGTAGAAATCTTTTGGTGAGGAAAAACAATCCAAATACATTCTGTGGGAAATTCTGCCAAGAAATGACACAGTTTTTAGCCTGCTTTGAAGAATTCATTGAAACTGCTTGAGAAGGAGCATTTTAGGAATTTACAGAGTTTCTTTCCATTTTGTAAACAGGCAGCCTACCTTGACAATGGGTTCTTCCATTGCCTACAAATCCATAATTGCAGATGCAAACACTTTTTCCTCCACTTTGCTGACATGTTGCATGAATGTGGCAAGTTGCACAGACATCAGGAATGGATCTGTTCACAATTGCTTTAAGGACAAAAAACCACAATTATCTTTTTTGTAAAATACCTTGTGGCATGGTAGGATAACCAGCACAGAATTCAAAGCGGAGATAAAATCCAGTCTGAAACACATGGATAGACTACTATGTCCCCCAGTCTCATCTTGAAACTTGCAGGAAAACCCCAGCTATTGTATGAAAAGACTAAAGATGAAAAATAAACAGAAAAGATTCAACAAATAACTACACTGAGAATTTTTCTTCATCCTTCTCTGACAACAAGGAAAAGAGCTCTTCAGTAATCAGAAAGGTTTAGAAGGTATACAGTAAGCAGCTCTACCCAATATTATTAATCTTTTCTCCATATGCATTTGTTTCTCTTTTGTCTTTTTTTCTGTTTCCTCTGCTTTGTTGTGTTTTTTTCTGTTATTTGCAGATAGACATTTGGGATACTTTTCAATCTGTTTGTATCATGTGTCAGTATGGTAAAAGTGTTACGCAAAAAAAGTTGTGAATGCTGCCAGGAGTAAAATGACTTACAGTAAAGTAATTTTAGAAATTAATTTATATTAAACGTGGTTGAGAAGCACACAACCTAATTTACTACAGTTTGACAAGGCTTTAAATATACACAAAATTAGAGTAAAATATAATTTTTTTCTCTTCTTTGTATTCATACTTTCAGGGCATTAGGTTCACTTTCCTCCATTTTCTCGATAAGCTCTTTTTATTATCACACATACCCTCACTTTCCAAATGACTAAAGTCAGCATAGATGACATTTAATGTAGATGAAACATGCTCATGTTAACACCTTTTTATATTTTAAGATAAAGAACTAATACTGCACAAGCTGATGTCTGATGGTGCTTGACAGAAGTATGGAATTTTCTTACTTTTCTAAGATAGCTGAAATTGATAAGAATACTAACATCACTGTATATTTAGCTTCTCTGACAAAATTTTGACCACTCTACAATGTCTAAATACATAACTGGAAGGAGAAGGCAGCTGAACACTCTAGTATTTTTATGCATCAAATTTATCACTGTGATAAAACTGCCCTTCCACACGTGCAGGATGTCAGTTTTACTCACAGTGCATTTATGAGTTCCTTCAGGCTGTAGAAAGCACTGCAGAATCCTACTCCTAATTATCCATGTTTTCATATACTTGTGTGCATGTGCGTTTCTGATACGAACAGAAAACAAAAACTGCCGGCATGCGACGGCAGCCAGCACAGATGAGAAAACTGAATTTACAAACAGCCACGGAGAGAACTTTCTTACAATATCTCCATCTTTTGATAAGACACGGGAGTATCGTCCTCAGACTGTTGCTTCAGGAGTTAAAAAAACGTGTTTCCACCCTCTCCCTCCCCTTATTACTACAGCTGAAATCTTCACAACACCCGATTTATCTTGCCAGCACTACAGTCACCTCAATGTCTTGGTCCTACCCATGTGCTGCCTCAGGCGCGGCTCCCGCCGTGGCAAGGCCCTCTGGGCCCGGCAGGACACGAGGTCGCTGTCACCAGCTCCGCAGCAGGTGTCGAGGAGACACCAGCCGGCGCCAAGGACCGCACCCACCGCCGCTCCCGCTGCCTCCGCCGCCGCGGGTACCATCCCCGCCCCAAGGGATGCTCCGCCACCATCGCCGGGGGACACTCGGACACGCACACCAGCACCACCACCACCGCCACCAGGAGATCCTCCACCACTACCAGCAAGGGCTGTCCGGCTCCCAGCTCCAGCTGGCAGTCCCC